TAAGAAATATTATGGTTGTGATTAAGTCAGTTTTATTCGCCTAATTAAATTATATATTGGGTTGGCACAAAAGTAATGAGACACACTAGAAAAATCTATAACATTTCCTTTTTAAAATCAATTTTTTCGATAATATTCTAGAATGTTGTACTTCTGGTGTAGGGTATATAAAGCCGCGCTCGCGATTTGTTTAGTCAGTTAGAAGAAAAATGGACGAGCGACAAGTTCGAACACTATACTTATATGAGTACTTGTTAGGCCACAGTGCGCGGGCTGCGGCTGACAATATCAACAATGCATTAGGCGCTGGAAGTACAAGCCATGCGCCGGTGTCCCGATGGTTTGACCGTTTTAAATCAGGAGCCTTGAAAGTCAGCCACGCTCAGGGCGACCACCCGCAGTGAATGATGACGATTTGCGCCGCGAACTGCAGTTGAATCCGGATGCTACCACTCGTGAATTAGCGGAAGCACTTAAATGCAGTCACCACGCCGTGGAACATCATCTGCATGAGCTTGGTTATCGAAAAGTTTTGGCTCGGTGGGTACCGCACATCCTTACAGACGCCAGTCGTGCAGTCCGTGTCGTTGTCAGTCACTTTTGCTGCGACCCCGACGTAAAGAGTTTTTGTCAGATCTGGTTACTGGAGATGAATCATGGATTTATTACGAGAACAATACACGTCGTGCTTTTTGGCTGCCTCGAGAAGAAACGTCACCAACTCAACCGAAGATAAGTCAAAAGAACCGCCGAAAAATTCTGCTTTGTTGTTTCTGGGATGCGCAAGGCATACTGTTTTATGAGCTATTACACAATGAAACTATAAACGCTGACAAATATTCAACCCAGCTTACCAAATTAGCTGCCGCTATCAAGAAAAAACGACGAAGACGAGTCAATGTAGTTTTACTGCACGATAACGCTCGACCTCACGTCGCATCTGTGGTTCGCCGGCAGTTGGAGAACTTGGGCTGGGAGACGATACCCCACCCACCTTATTCCCCAGACCTCGCCCCATCAGACTATCATTTGTTTAGAGCCCTGAAACAGCATTTGCGGAGTAAACAATTTAATGATTTCTCTGACGTAGAGGCGGAGTTGAACAACTTTTTCGAGGCACAGCCATCAGAGTTCTGGGCAAAAGGTATCCAAACTTTGCCAGATCGTTGGCAAGAAGTCTTAGATACTAATGGTAATTACATCATTGACTAAACTTTTTTTATTGTAATAATAATAAAAAAGTAAAAACTTAAACCAAGTGTCTCATTACTTTTGTGCCAACCCGATATATTCGATTCTAACATGGACTGTACTCGACTGTACTCCACACGATATGTACGAATGCACGACGCAATTGGATCGATTCATGTGCATTTCATCACAATACCAAATAACATGCATTCAATTTAATATCCACTGGCGACCCGATGCGAATTCACATGATTCATTATATGAAGTAAACGAAGTCAGTTAACATGATTTTTAGGGTTCCGTACAAAAAGGGAACAAAAATATTAACCTGTAAGGGCACCGTTTGTCATTTGTGTCTTTAACTGTCGTCACTGTCTGTGTCTTTCTGTCTGTCCTTCGGTTTTTTTATTTATTGCACATACATATATGTAATTGATGACTAATAACCTAATTGAATGAATTGAAACACCACGGTCTTGTTAGCGGGGTAAACTGGAAATGGAAAAAGTTTTGTATACTGTATTATATGAGACGTCAAAGGACTTATTGTCAGGATCTAAGCTACTTACATATATTTTGTATGTTTTTTAATTGTTTATAGTTTCGAAATTGTTTATTCTATTAATTATTTGTACTCCGTTTCCGCGGACTAATGTACGATTCACATCCATCAGACTCGATACAGCATGTATGTAGTAGCTCGGTGGCGTAGTGGATAAGCGCAGCGGCCCGCGATCGTAGTCGTTAAGCAACTTTCGCTAGGATCGGTCACGGGATGGGTGACCAAAAAAATATTATCTTGAGCTACTCCGTGCTTCGGAAGGCACGTTAAGCCGTTGGTCCCGGCTGCATTTGCAGTCGTTAATACCCTCCAATCCGCATTGGGCCAGCGTGGAGGGTCATGGCCCATCCTCCTTAACCATCCATAAGGAAGGCCTGAGCCCCTGCAGTGGGGACGTAAAAGGGCTGGTGATGTGAGACTCGATACAACACTATTAGACTGTAATCCAGTGAAATCAATTTGAAACAAGTTGCAAGTAGATAAATTTGTAGAAATGATGCCGAGATATCTTAATCACTGCACACTGAGATAAATATGCAACTTACAGAAATTTAATTTTAACTTGGCAACCCAAGTTTATGTTAAACCCAAGATTATGTTAAATCATAATCTTAATTACCTTGCCTTAATTACCGTTTCCATAATTATAACTGTACAACAAAACGCAGTAATACATACAAACGATACATAGTTCTATTGGTAGCGATATGTATCCTGTACTTTTAACGATCATGTAGTACATTAGGGTATCGTTTATTATTTTAAACGAGAAAACATAGCTATAGATAACATAATTTTATTTCAAAAAACATAAAATGACGTTAAATTACTTAATATATTTTAATTCTAATATACCAACGTTACCGACAGAGGGAGTAACGAACTGGCCGTTATAAAGTTTCCTACATGAACGGTCTGAAACTTTTGGTGAGTTTTGACATGTACCTATATCATGCGGTCGCTCTGGTTAGTCAAATTTTGAAATGGCTTACCACGTGACCGACTTCGGCAACGAGCACGTCTAAAAATACATAGGATTAGGCTTATATCTTAAACATTGGTACTTATGTTAGTTGTTTGCAGACACTAAAGACTACATGATCCTTTACATATAATGCATATAAACCATCCTTTTTGATCATACCTAAAAAACAAAATCCGTTATGTATTGTTTTGTACACTCTGCGAACCTTTATTTTATACTATGTATGTATATATGAAATTGGTCGATAAACCAACTATTCGAATAATGGACAGAAACCGATCTCCAAAGACTAAGTATTTCAGCTATTACGCTGATATAATAATTTAAGATTAACTTATTTGTGTATTCTTCATAAGTTATATTGAAATCAATAGTTAGTCAGTTTTTAAATGAAATTCACTTTCTTCATTAAAAATATAATAGTAAAATTGTCTTGAAATAAACACTATATGCGTACGCTGTATTATTATTATTATATTTTATCGATCAATTTCTCATTCACAACGCTATATTGAACAATATTAATGAAAAATGTTTTAAAAATCCACTTTGGCCCTGCTGTTATTATTGTCTTGTCTTGTGGTTTATCTTTGTCTTATATCATGTTTAATATAGGGTACAACATCACATCAAGTATTAAAAATTGTGATTTTATTCAAATATAAAACATTTAATTCAAATTATTAGTAAAACAGATTTGAATAACGTCTTTAGTCGTCATATTAGATTTCTATTTTCATTCACTAAATTTCATTAAGATTCATGAAATAGTCTTAATATTGTAAAAGCAAATTTAAGAGATATTACTAATAATATTCACTTATTTCGGAGTATAAGGTCAAACAAATGAAAGTCATTGTGTCAGAGATCTACATAGAATCTATCTATATATGATTACCCGTACTATTATAATATGCCTGCACTTATAAGACACCAGTAACATGGAGGTCCATGATTTCTGTTAATTTCTGTACATTTGGTGGTTGGTTGAGTAACACAACACTTGGTCGTCGACTGGTCGTTAAACACGAAACAAATCGAGCATCTGTGTCATTACAGGCGGTAGGTTAACTATTGTTGGCCTGAAAGTACGCTAACGATTTGCTTTCGGGGTTGTCGACTTTAAAATATACATTTTCATGTCAGCTTCACCAATAAACTAGTCTGTATCTTCGTTTGTTCAGATTCGTCAGTTCAGGAAAATCTTTTGAAGTGGACAAACATATATGGAATATAAGCTACATTAGCTATAGCCCGTGGGATAAATTCAATTAATATTAATAGTCGCTTTCAAATGAAGATGTGAGAGAGTATTCAAAAGGGTTGTATTTATTGCTTATCACTTATATTTCTTTTTATTTTAACGTATTTCATGTGTTTATAGTCAGTGTAAATTCATATTATTGTCATTTTTTAAATAAAGTTTATTGACTCAGCCTTAAAAACTAATCAAGTATGCAGAATTATCTTCACATAAATAACATAACACTGTAATTATATTTTACACTATCTAATTACCTGTAATCTATATACTTACTGTAGACTAGTAAATCTGCTTTTGTAACTCTCGAAGAATGCAACATAGAATTAAAAAAATAATCAGTTTAAGGTCACGTTCACCAGCCCTGAAAGTAGTTGGCTTCGTTTGAGCGGCACCGTCGCGCCGTTCAGAAACTAGTGCAAGCTCCTTGCGGTGTGGCACTTACGCAATCACTACAACAACAACTCGTACAATTTACAACTCGTAGACAAAGGAGCATCGACGTTCGGAAACCCCATTTATTTCAAAACTTTCATGAACTCACGAAGTATGCTCTCTAAAGATTCTTCTAAAATTAAAGAATTTGTCAATAAATTTCTTGAAAATAATGTTACCATTGAAAATTCAATGAAATTTTAAAGATGACATCAATTACATTGTTTAGATTCCAAGATACTGGTATTATGTATCTGAAAGACCGACGATATTGCAAGACCCAATCTCGGGCAACATAAAAAAGTTAATTTCGTTTATTCGGGAATCGAACACGGGACCTCTGAGATAAAGACACCTTAAAACCAGCGTGCGAGACCTTCAGGTACGGTGGAATGATGATAATATCGGGGGAGCAGAGACACAACATATGGTAAGGTGATGTCCGAACCGACGCCATAATATCAAGGAAGTGAAAGACGTATCACTGCCCACACTGCGAGAAAAAATCTTTATGATAAGTCCACGCTGTATATTAGTGACAAGTATCTAAAGACTCCAAAATACAATTATGGTCTTTTCTTGTTCTCGTTGATATACTTCATGGCTCTTCGAACATCTATGGCCTTCGCTTCGTGGCCATATGCCTTCACATCATAGGTGACACTATCTACAAACAAATTGTAAGTGTTACACCTTCTTATATCAATAACTTACATTTGTACGCGTTACGTGGGTGTGTGTGCACTGTACATACATGCTCATGTGCGAGTGAGTTTAATACTTTAATATCCTCGTAGTATTAAGTATTATTAAAATAACATAATAATAAAAATACTCATAAACAAAAGAAGCTGATAATCTATACTGATATTATAATGATGTGAAGTTTCTCTAACTTACATATTTTTCATTGTTGTAGAGTATTAATATAGACTGATTAGTAATACGGTTATCTTATAATTTTGTTTGTTTGTAGGGATCTTCGGAAATACTGATCCGATTACAACAACTCTTTCGTCTACGGCACTGAACATAGAATCTGTGTTCTATGGCCTACGGGAAGCTATATTTCATCTTCACACATTTATTGTTTACAATCAGTATTAATAAAGGTCAGTGACGGCCAGTTGCCGACATGAAACCTACTGTTTGAAATATTAAAGGGCAAAAAACAAATGTGGAGTAGATGCAACACACCCACGGTAGACCTAATAAAAATAACAGTAACTATATATCAATGACAAATATCTAGACAATAACTGTCTGTCAGCTATATCAGAACTTAAATTCGAGATACAAGTTACGTGTTCGAGGTTCAAGTAGAGTTATTAATATTTTAAATATCAATACAATAATATAAATTTGTATGAATCTATATGGAATTACCTTTGTAATGAATCTCCACGTAAAACTCAATCTCTATGTTTTGGAAATCTTGACACATAGCAGCTGCGCCGGCGCACCACCGACGCAAGTACAATCTGGGTTTTACATATTTTTTGGCGTTATCTGCCTTAAATAAAACGCACGAATACTCCATGCCTGCATATATTGTTACCTAAGAAAGAAAGATGGCACAGGTTTTTAGACTTCACAAGTGTATTCAACAGCCTAGATTGAATAAATGATTTTGATTTGATTATTACATAGATAGAGAAAGAATCTAGCTTTGGCACTGGCAGGAGGCACCAAATAAATTAGTACTTTATTAAACCACCATGATAAGTTATGTAGGTGTAGTTCTAGACTTACGTTATATCTCACAGTTCTCATATTCAGCCCTCTAAACTGGATGTCTGTGTGGTCTGCATAGATCACATACTTCATTTCGTCGAGGTCGCACGGACCGTACCTCTGGAGATTCGACAAGGCTGTAAGGTAAACATTTAATTCATTGAACATCCAATTAAAACTATGCAGGCTCTTCTCTCAAAATGATATACCGTAATAAATTATATCACAGTTAGGATTAAGTTCTTTAAATCAATTGACTTGTAAGGATAAGTACTTACAGTTTTTATTGCTGTATTTAGACATCGGTATATAGTAGCGGTGCTCAAGATGAAAGTCATATAAAAAACCTAATGGGCATTTTCAATACCACCACAATACAACCCACATACGGAGTGCGGAAGATACGTATTGGAATTAGAAACTACATCAGCATTTAGTATAGGTACCTACATCGTCTAAGCACCATCGCATTCGGTGATAGTCTGGAGATGGCAGGTCTGCCGATGTTCGCTACAGTGTGGCGCACCCACCGCTGGAAGATGCTGTAGTCTAGGAAGCGCGCAGGAGCTCCACACCCAGGACCGTAAACCCCGAAACCGACCTGGAGTAGAGAATCATTATAATATAACACTCTATATGAAAATAATTGTAGAGCTGCCGTTGTTTCATTAAGATCATTTTATAGAATATTATATTTTCAATATTAAGATGGCAACAGCACTACACATACTTAAAAATGAAGAAACGTAATTTGCATTGGCAAAGGTAGTTACAAACATGGACCAATGTAACTGTAGGCTGAGCAACGGAAAGATCCTGTCAAAGAAATGAATTCAAAAATCACAAATGTTGCAACGACAGAGAAACACATATGACACCATTCCCAATTGAAATTAAGAGCGTATCCCTACCATAAAATAATCTTAAAAGAGCGGCAATACACATCTTTGACAAAGACCACTACAACAGCACAAAGAGCAGACCTGTGAAGCTTTGAGCGAAGTAAACAAAAACAAGTGAAAAATCTCTTATGATTTTCGAAGATAACTCACCTCAAGTGATAGCCAAGAACAGGTCAACAAACAGATACATTGAGTGTATACGCAACCTGAACAATTGAAGAGCCTACCAGTCTCCAGCGTCCCCCCTGTCGCAGTGCCAGCACAGCCCCACTCCTCCACACACACTCCCCGCCGCTGACGGCTCTAGCGCACGTTGTGTGTGTGGGCCACATACTACTGATGTCAAGCTGCATATATACATTAAAAGTTAATGCTATTTCAAAAACTACGAGTATATATGGTATGATAAATCAAAACAAAGCTTTTCAAAATCAACTTATAAAAAAACACTTTAAACTTAAAACATGCGATAATGATTCTGTAAGTTAACAGATGAAATTAAAGTAAAACTTACACCTGACTTCCTATAATATGTTTTGCATTCATCAGGATTCACAAAATCCATTTCATATAACTTAACAACAGGTTTCTTGCAATCTGTAAAAAAATGTAGATTATCTGTTCATCTGATGTTTCATATTTCCTGTTTGTTATCCTATTTTATTAAATCATAGGGTTACCAAAAAAAAAATACCAGTATGTTATTTATAACTTCAATCTAAAAATGAGTGATATCAGTGCGCTCAAGGTCTATTGATATTCAAACATACAAGCTAGCTTACTTACTATTCATTATAGTCATCGCAAAGAATTCAGGCTCGATGAAATATGTTGGTGGTGGACATATCGGATGTAGATCTGAGACCAATGTCATATCAACCAATCATATATCATACATCCATAAGAATTCATAATAGCAATAAAACTAAAATAACCAATATTCCCTTTAATAAAATTTTCGCTGACGCAGCTTATTAGTGGTTATGAACGAGTATTTCCACATGGAAACGCAAAATTAAATTAAGGGTAAAATTTCTGGGTTGGGCATTCCATAGCCTGACAATAAGCCAATCTAAAGCTACAACAATACATCATAAGAGTTCGTGACCAAAATGTATTAAAATATCTAATTTTTTCACTATATATTAATAAATAAACATTAGACAACATACATACATGATTCTGATTCCAGTATAAGTAGCAAAACCCCCGCATAATGGAGAATCTGAGACAACGAAGATGCCACTACACCCAGACCCGACACGATGTAGAAAAGTCTATTTTCTATATCGACCAAAGTTAAAATATGTTTTATTCAAATAAACTTATTTAAAATACTTTTAAATCATCCAACATTTTTGTAGAAGCGCATACTAACACCCCTGAATGAATTATTTACTTTTTGCAGTCTAATGATAGGCAGTGTTAATTTATTTTCATTGCTAGTATAAAAATTATGTACATTACTTATTATAGAAAACAAATTACCTAATATTTTTACAAACGTACATTAAGTTCTCGTTTATTTATTGAGAAGCATCATTATCATACTCAACAAGGGATGGAACCCGGTCGGGTATGTACCTAAGATAACTACATTTTAAAATCGGCGAGCGAACCACTCGGCTACGGCGGAAGTCACATTAACGGAATGTCGGTGACGTAGCTTCCATATTTTATACCGGAATGACAGTACAAGCGAATTTATTATTTCCATTATTTCAAAAGTATTGTAAGTGCCTTGGACTCACCTATAGTTATAAAGTCAGTTTCCAGTTGGACCATAGCTAGAGCACTATACGAATTGGTCTCATAGTCTGGATGATAACTGTAGTCGCGTATAGGTACTGAAGGTCCCGAACAATTATATCCGAAAACTGCACGAGCACGAGATCTGATAAAAAAAATACATAAAAAGTTAACTGCATATTCTTACAATGTAACAACTTTTTCTTCCGGGTACTGTAAGTATGGCACGTAAGTGTTTTTTTGATTACATAATTATTGCAGTTTTTAACCCAGTATTAAAAATCAAAGCACTGGCGATAAAAAAAAGGTTGAAAGCGGTCTAATTCGTTTGTTGTGTGATGTGGCACAAGGGTAGAACTAAAAGTATTGGTTGTTGTTAATGACAATGTAGAGTAGAATAAAGTTAGGAAAAGAGTTTAGTAAAGTTGACTAGAAGTCAAACAAAAAAGAACAAAATGGAATAGTACGACGTTCGTTGTTAGATTCACGTAATGTCAGATATTATTTATGAGCTAATAATACTGTGCAATGGTAAGAACATCGGCCGATCATTATGTTCTGATTTCATAGTATGGCCTCCTGAACGGATGCTGCAGGAACTTAGATGATGAGAACGGACGGTTGCTACCTGAACTCAGTTTTAGGTAATTTATCGATCTCCGTAGCTGTACCCAGCGCCATCTGCTTTGTGACCAACACTATTACTGTTGTGTACCGTCTCGTCTCTATAAAAATAAAAAAATCAGATGTAAAATGAAGTTGTGTACCGTCTCGTCTCTATAAAAATCAGATGTAAAATGAAATTAAAGAATGAAAAACATTTTCTTTTTGTATATATTTTAAAGTAATTAAAGTAATCGAAATATGGAATGAGACAAAGGAGTCCCCTGTAACAGCAAACCATATAAAACCCATATTTCCTGTATATGACGATGAAAATTGAGATTTACTAAAACCTCTAAAGGATATGATCATATGGTCATATTATTCAAAGTCAAATTATTTCAGAGAAATGATGACAAATAGTAGTGTTTTCTATTTTTACTCGACTATAGCGGCGAAGCAAAACGGAGGGTTATGATTTTGGCCGGTATGTATGTAAGAATGATTATCTGTTCCCTTATAGCTTCGAAATTGCTCACCGTAAATGGACAAATGAGGTATCATTAGAAGCGTCTTAATTATCCGCGTGCTGTAGGCTATGTGACGTTACATTAAATTGGCAACGGCGCCCTCTAGAGAGCAAGAAACTAAAGAAAAGTAAGAAACTAAAAAAAATATATATTATTCAATATCTATCAAATGAAAGGGCTTAATTAGCACATTTCAGATATGATTCTATATTTTTTAACTTTTTTTTATTTCATAAGTTTATGTAATGTTATTTTCTGACCGAATTTGCGATAAATGTAGTGATTTGATCAAATACTTATTAATCAAATACCAAACTAGACATTCGTTTAGAGACATATTAAAATCGTGTTATTATTTTTCTTCCATGATTTGATCACCTTAAATGTCTGTTTGTATTATTCTACTACCATTTACAGTAACTTACAATTTATTAAATCTTTTGAACTGCTAGCCATCGAAATGTATTATAAAAAATAAATAATACCAATTAGAATAGATATAACTTACTTGTAGGATAGATAAGGTGTCCCATCCACGGATATGTTTCGATCCTCGCTACACCTTCGTACACCACCGATAAGGGAGATGTGTCTTTGCCACAGGTGAGGTTAAATGGCGTTTCAAAGAATCCACCAACAGAAACTACAGATCAATGATTGTAATAATACATACACTGTGATATTACACGCACTCACCTTATATACCTATAAGGTCATGTTTTTATTCGATTTCCCCTTACCTTTGAATACATATAATATCAAAAATGTTATTTTATTCTTACACCATTCCATAACATATAATTAATATAATTCAAACTAATTAAAAAAGTTTACAGTCACGTAACATCTCTATCTGTCACGCATCCTGCACAGTATCGGAAACTTTTAAAATTACGTTAATTCACTTCAATACCTTTTATTATTTACAAGTATCGTGTGGGGCAGCTCAATCAAACAAAAATAAGATAATTCACGGCACGTTAAATTTATTTTCTGTTTATTAGTATTGTATACATGTGGAGGGAATGCAAATAAACTATTTTTTAAAGGAATTATGCAAACTGCAACAAAGAATGAAGAAATGAAATTTTATTCAATGCGATGCATTGCTTCAATGCGCTTATGAAACCTCAAACAATGAACTTCGAAAATACATTTCGATAACTAAAATTATGAATATAACTATAGGAATTAATTATTATTTTTGTAACTTTAATATTATTGTTTATGAGTCAGATAGGCATACATGCAGTTATGCATTAATAAAATAGGCAAACAAACATCTGATCGTAGTGATATTGTCATTTTCCTTTATGGAAGACATTTAAAATCCTGATAGAAATCAATTAAATTCATTCAATGAAAATTAAAATAATAATTTTATTTTCATTTGGTAATTTCTCTATAGAACTCAGTTTTAAATCTAATAGTGATTTGAGTTTGACCAGCGCTGGACCTAAAATCATTCGCCAACCGACAAATGTACTTTAATCTCTTCTGCGAATAGTATTGAGTTTGGTTCTATTTTGCATAGTTGTGGCCAGTTGCAGTAAACCATCTCAGTTTCGTATCCGTTAACGGTGAAACCAAATCAATAATGAAATCAGTGCGATAACCGATGAAATAAGATAACCACTATAGGATCACTTGGTTGTCCGTATGTCTGTCACAGCGGATCCACTCAATAACTACTGAACTGAAGTCTGCCAAACACTATCACAAAAACGGTCGTGCAACGCAAATAAAACTCACAATATGGTAGGCAATTTCAGGGGGTAAGTTTGAAAAATGAAAATACTTTTGCAAACTATACCATTTGATATGGAAAATAAAAAATGATATTTTTATTTTAAAAAAATATAAAGATTGTCAATTCCGCCACTGTTCGTTTTACTTAATGAGTTCGCCTAAACTTAATACTTCGCCTAAACTTGTGAAAAAAAATGATACTTCTGTATTTTCTAATTTATAGAGATTACAAAAAAACTAATCCAAATAGTATACTGACTAACTACAATCACAATCTGTAAGGGGGGGAGGCATCACCGGGCAATTTTCTAGTATTATATTCCTCACATCATGGCAGATTTTCATAAGTTGGTTATTTTTATCGACCAATGTAAAAGAGTCATTATGAAGAATATGTTTGAGACAAATACTTGCAAGTGGCATCTATTTTTGAGACCTCGTTATACTTAATCAGACTTCATTATACTTTATTGGACTTATTACATATCATTGAACTTCATGAGAATTCATTATATCTCTCTGCTAAAAGGGTACGAGGGTAAAACGACTTGATTATATATAATTAGACTTTGTAAAGCAGGAGGTGTGAAATATGTTTTGTAACCGTGCTAGTCGTAAAATTCTAATGGCAGAAATTATTTGCGATTTAGGTTATAGGTTCAGCAACTTATAGTATGTAGAAGAAGTTAAAACACTATTTAGTTGCACTAGTTGATTAAAAGCTTACAGTTTTAAATAAATAATTACAGTAGGCTTGCCCTCAGCTAAAACATTTAAATTAACAAAGTGAAACGCTTAAAAGTTAATAGGCGAAGGAATTTTATATAGAGTCCACTCAATTACGATGTCAAAACCTAAAAATATACAAAGTAAACCTTTTGCAATAAGGAGGAGGATTGAAATTCCCTTGGCGGGGGACGTTGGTGGTGTTAAACGATTTGTTTTATTATTTGGTAAAAAGTTGCGATATCAAAATAAAAACTTGAGGAAGTCATTTGCATATTTAAATTTTCTTTGAGAAAACGCCGCGCAGAAGATTCTTTCGAGGTATGACTTTCTTTGTTCAGACGATTTTTATAACAACTGGATTAGGTGAATGAGTTTTTCTCTTCTTTCTTTGTGTTTCTCCTATAATATACCTACGTACCAATTGTTTTCTTGAAAACAAGAAATATTTAACTAGCTTAATTCCTCAACGTAGAACAATCTAAGTTCCTGCGGTAGTTTATTCGGAGGTTGCTAAAAAAACATTTGGAAATCTATCCATGAGACCAGAGAAATAATCACGCTTAATTTTTGGGAGAGTTTAATTAAAATAATATTATACCCATACTCAGCAATTATAATAGTAATCTGACGTTGTATAAATCATTAAATGAAATAAATAGCAAGAGAAACAAGATAGTTCCTACGGTAGCCTAGTAACAGGACCCCGTTAGCGGGGTGTAGATTTTATATGTGTACTTCTACTAGATTTTACTTAAACTTTGATACATTCTCTGTCCCTTTCTAATTTTATACGGACCAAACAATTCATAAGAAACAAAAAGAATAATATTGAAACGTAGAAATTTAATTAATTTACAAACTGATAATATTAATAAAACAATAAATTATGGTTAATGAATTTTCGTGAAGAGTTAATTACGTCAAACTGTTATAAATCTTAATACCACAAAACAGTATAGCATTTCTTTATTATCATAATTAAATATTAATTATTCTAATGTTTATCATAATTCTTGTCTCATATATAACTATACAAAAGAGCAGATTTCCAACTATTGTATAAATTAAGATGTTTATGTAAGGATAAGCATAGAGATTAAATAAGAATAAAGTTGATATATCTAACAATAAGTGAGCAGTTCGTCGAGCGTGCAGGGCTGGTCGCAGCATTCGGAGACGACACCTCTCTTTCCACGTGCACTCTTCAGGGCACCACGCCACTTCCAACTGTCCCGCATCGACACATAATTATTCCCACCGAGTCCCAATCCACCGAACAGATCGTCATCTGTGGCAGGAAGCAAATCGCTTCCTGTGTGATAGTAACTGTGCTCGTACGACTCTCCTGATCTCTTAGATAATTGACTGTTTGGGCAGAACAGTGCTAAAGTATTAGCTAAACGCCTGCCGCAGAAGAACTGCACTGGAGCCTTTCCCGATACACTGATTACGGCCGCGATGCACATAAGGAATAATACCGCTAACTTCATGTTGGTGCTGAGATTAGTCCTGGTCTCGAGTCACCCGCCCTTTCGAATGATGAATGTTTAATGTGATAAATATTGGGAATCGCTGTTAATTTATACTTTTACAGGTTCATTAATATTTAAGAGTAAATAGTCTAATTAGTAAATATGTCTCAAATTTTAAGAGATGAGTAGGAGGCTCTGACGTCAATGCTTAGCATTACATACACCTGTAACACACATGAATGGATATTTGACAAGCATGGAACTTTACAGTTCCATACCTTCAGCGAAACCTATTTACCTTATTTGTTTGTTTATATAATAACTAGCTGTTTATCCGCGACTTTGCCCGCGCAAACTATAGCTTATGTCACCCGCGTATAGTGTAGATTCTCGTAAGTGTACGTTTTTCAAATCGGCACAAAAATTTCAGAGCACATCAAATTCAAACAAAACAAATTATTATTTATTTAAATATTTTTTCTTTTTATTTGATTATTTTGTAATCAATATATTGTGTAGCTGATTTGATAATCGCCTAATCATATTTCAACTTCACCGATCATGTTTCTAATTACTTTTGAACTCTTTTTACAAAAATAGATTGTAAAACTACAAATTACGGCCTAAAAAATTAAAATGAAGCAAGAAATTTATTTTATAGCGATTGCTACATTATAGCATTAAACAATAGCAATTAAAAGGCTTAACTTAGATTTTAGTTTTGAACTTATTTTGCTATCTTAATTAATTTTCGGGTGTATTTGAGCAAAATCGTAAGCAAAATGTATTTGAAATGTGCTAACTAAGTCCTTTCATTTGATACCCTACACGGAATTATTGCATAATATATTTCTTATTTTATGCTCTCTAGAGGGCGCTGTTGCCAATTCAATGTTCTTCGCTTCTAATGATAGGCTCATTTATCCAGTTGCGATGCGAAGTTATAAGAGAACAGGTGAACATCCTAACGTACATACATACATACCGGCCAAAATCATAACCCTCCTTTTCGCTTCGCCGTAGTCGATTAAAAACTGGAAAGTATACGAAATACGACACACTTTAAGTTTGCATGAAGAAGTAATGGTATTTAACCTTAATAATATTCATACTTTGTAGTTGACCTCCGAGCATTGGATGTCCAATAATATAAGTAAATCAGTTCATCAAAATTCTTTCAATAGAAGCTTTGTTTTTAAGTTAAAATTAGAAAGTTTAATATGTAAATAGAAAATGATAATTGAAAGACAATTTATTTTCTGAAAATCAACAATGTTCGTAAAAATAGCACATATTCATAAATATTAATTAATCAACACATACATATTCATAAATTATTGACCTGGATACGTCACTATATGTTGAATTTTCCCTGGATGTTGAGACGAACGAAATGTAATTTAAACAAATTTAATATCTTTTGATATATAATTATATAATAATTACTAGAATCAGGGGGATATCAAACTAGATTGTACACTGTTTTTATATGAAGTATAATCTTTTAAGTTTATTAACTACTACTACGTATAACGATCAAAAGTATAATCCTAGTATTAATTATTTATTCAGTAGTAATATGAACAATTATGTTTGTTACGGACCAACATCGACGAGTGCAGCGCACGAGCATCAAACGCTACGTGCATTACACGGTCCGGTAATTGCCGGTGACAAAACGGTCGAGTAGTGGGCGTCTCATGCAGCAACGCATTCATTTATTGATAAAAATTTGCTTTCTCTAAAATTGAAAACTACGTTACACAAATCTCGGGTTAAACCTATGCTTCTCAAGGACTATTCAATTATTATTAGTTGAGTTAAGTTCTCGATTATCATCAAAAATCTTTTAAAAATTAAGTATAGGATTATTTATAACAAGAAATAACTGAAGAAACATTGAACATTCTAGGAAACAAAATTATTGCTGTTTATCGGAACCATATAATTTTACAGTTTAATTATAGTAAAAATAGCATTAAAAATAGTATATACCAAAACTTATAATATAGACAAAATGAAAGATCAACAAATAATTACTTGCGAACTTTAAAATTTGTGACAACAGATAATAAATAAACAATCTATCCCACGCCGTGAATATTTGAATATTGATAAATCAAATTTGGTATAAAACCGGACGACTTTATTTATCGACTCACACATTACATCTTAGAAACAACAACAACACACATCAGCTTTTGCAAGACTTGAAGAGTTTTTATTACATAAATTTTACTTTTTCCAAGATGAAGCTTCAATCAGTTTTCTTCGTTGCCGTCATTAGTTCAGTATGTTTCACATACGCCAAATCTCCAGTCCGCTACTTCTGTGGGAGAGATCTAGCCAACACGTTAGCTATGCTATGCCCATATAACGAAGCATCAAAGCGATCGCAAATCTCTATAGAATCAGTTTTTGGGACAAACAAAGATATTTATGATATTCATCAAGAACCGGACAAAGTCTCGAGCCTGAGTGGCGACAAGGATGTACAGTGGAACGAATTGTCTGATAATAGCAAACCTCATAAAGTAAATAACCCTAATGAATCTATGGGAAAGCTCACAGAGGACTCTGACATGAGCAACGACAACTTCAGCTTGATGGAAGACAACGATTTGAGGATGCAGATGCTACAAGGATTTCGCCATAAGAGAGGCGTGATCTCGGAGTGCTGCGATCAGCCGTGTACTATCGATGAGTTGCTCACTTATTGCTGAAGACTTAACTAGCGATAATTTTGTTACATTTTTGCTTGCACACCTGATGTATGTTTGATTGTTGTTTTAATTAAATATGGTTAAGAATCAATATTTCTTTGGTCTTATACATTTTTTGTCTTCTGAATATGAATTCCATCATCATCATCAGCCCTTTTACGTCCACACTGCAGGGAATCAGCCCTCCCTTTGGATTGTTCAAGGGAATATGCCATAGCCCTCCACGCAGGCCCAATGCGGATTGGAGGGTATTAATGACCTCAAATATAACCAGGACCAGCGGCTTAACGTGTCTTCCGAAGCACGATAGTAGTAGCTCGGGATAATAATTTTTGGTCACACATCCCGTGCCCGACCCTTGCGAAAGTTGCTTAACAACAACGATTGCGGGCCACGGCGTTTATCCACTAAGCCACCCAGCTCATTCCATCATTCACTTCGTCCATTAGTAAAAAAAAAAAAATTCTCGCGTACAGAAAGAAACATGCATTAGAAGAATTAAATGGCCGTTTATTAATTGTTCTTATGTACATTATCTATTATTAGAACGTATCGAACAATTAGAATCCAGAGTAAGTAATTAAAGACATAATAACTGTATTTATTTACCCAATTGATATCTCATGCAAATTTTGTTTATGGTCGTAGGAGAATATCAAACAAATTGTCCAACTTACAGTATCGGTGTTCATTACTGAGTACACAAATTACATACACAATACAAAGAAGGAGAAAGTCCACGCACAAACACAGTATATCACTTTATTTATAATGTAGCCAAGAAAATAAAAGGCACCAACAAGATAAAAAAAACAAGTCGTTAAAGCAAAAAAAACTATAAAACACCAAATACTTCGCGGCGTAGTAAGGTTTCGACTGATATACCTGGATGCGCATGCGCACTAGCCAGCGGTGAGCAACAGTCAGTAGAGTGCGCGTTTCCATAGCACGACTCGTCACCGATTGTTTCATTGATTGTTTGTGTACGCGGCGCGACAGGCCAGATGTAACCGTTACAGAGTAAAGCATTAGTTACATATTATACGAGATCCCGCTGCTTAAACCTGCAGTTATCTATTGAAAACTGTGTTGCCTAGCACAACTTAGCCGCAATTATATTGATAACTTTTTATGTAGCTACTTTTTTGTTGATTAATTGCAGTTATATGTTTTTTAATGAATCCCACATCATTTGAATGAGAATGATTTAAGGAATCTAAAAAACCATGTTTGCCAGCTCTCAGTTAGCCGCAATCCATGGGTTGCCAGGTGTAAACAGGTAATCTTATTGTTAATTATTTACATTTCCGAGTTTTTCAAATGAATTATATATCAAGTTAAAGTTTATTCTTTTATCAACATTATATACACGATTGCATGTAAAGTAAGTGCCGCAAGCAGAAGTTGCCATCACTTGAATTAATTTTTTCCACACCGGAGACTGAGCTCTGTGTTTTAGAGAAAATGGTCAATTTTTTATTAAAAACATCACTAAATTTTCACAAGATATCTTAACCACTGCAAATCGTAGTGTATTTTAAAATAGCAATTTTTTTCCCACTACTTAGTTGGAATCATTATTTGACAACCTTCGTACTCACCTCTTAGGTCTCGGGTTCGATTCCCGGTCTGTTCAATATAGAAAATGGAGTTTGTATAATACTATCTCGCTGTTTCTTTGATAGTTTTTTATTATCTATACAAGGATATGTCCTGACTTACAGACTGACAGACAACGCACAGCCTAAACCGCTGGTCGTAGAAACTTGAAATTTGAAGGGAACATTCCCCTTAATACGTAGAGGTGTACTAAAAACGGATTTTTGGAAATTCCGTCCCGAAGGGGGTCAAAAAGGGTGAAAAAGTTTGTATGAAACTTCTTTGTTTATCGTTCTTTGTCGATGAAAATTGGTATATGGGTAGTTTATGACCCTAGGAAGGTAATAGGTTATATTTTATCCCGAAATCAAACACTTAAAGGGATTAAAATGGGAGTGAAAGAGTTTATGGGGAACCAAAATGTTACCATAGCAACCATTGTTTACAATCTGATTTGTCATTGTAATAAATTTACCTAATATTATTTACAAAATGTTTTATTGTATAGCTAGCGATGAAAATTTGTATTAAATATATAACATTTTTGAATTTTAAAGGATAAAAATGTTCAAATTGAAGTAATTTTGTTTATGAAAGAAAAAATATTTTTATATTATATATATGAACTGCACTAGGTGGCGTTAAATGAATATTAAATCTCAGATTATTTTGCCACGAAAATTTATCTAGAATAACTTTTCAGCCAGCTGATGACGAGTAGGTATATTCTAAATCACGCTATTATTTTGACAAAGAACTTTGCGCCGGCTTTAAATCAAAAAAAAGTCCTCCAAGTTTAGATAAAAGAATCTGCAATTATTTGTGTTTCGTTTCATCAATAATTAATTTATTGACGATTAGTATTGCTAGGTCTTAACCTAAGATTTTCAAGTTGATAATTTTCATACATCCTATTTTATTACATTTGTTAATTCATATTATAAGATAAGATTAGAATTTACCAATTCATGATGCGGCCAGCCATTTCATGAAATATTTGTCATAGAGATTTGAAATTTGGAGGGAACTTATCTGATTGCGTAGGTACTAACAGCGAATTTTTAGAAATTCTACCTTGAAGAGAGTTAAAAGGGATAAAGTGCTGACACGTATTGAATATTTGTTGTTTTTTTTTTTGTTGTAGTATCTCCCAACTTAGACATAAAGGTTTTTTTTATCATCAGCTCGAAAAACAACAGCATTTTTGGAAAATTATGCTGCCCAAAGTAACTATACCACGCGGACGAAGACGCGGGCAAAAGCTAGTATAATTATATTTCTCAAAAAAATTGTATTAAATATTAGACAATATAATTTTTCTAATACAAGTTATTATCAATTTTAGCGAAAAAATAAGACAGTCCCCATTTTAAACATCGATAACACACCTAGGATATGCGGCTCCTAGAGTGCATACTCAATAATGATAATAATGTTTAATTTATTAATTTGTTTGTAACTCATACAATCAAATTCATTAAACTAATAATAATGTCTATATTCCATGGTCTAAAACTTAATGTTAATTAGTTCACTTTAAAAACATTTAAACACAATATATTGCACAGATAGTTTCAAAACTCGGAAAATATTATAGAAGCCGGTTTTGCTTCTAATTATCTAGCCAAACTCAATCTAAACAGTACTGCTGAAGCAGCAGTCGTGTGTAATACCTAATAAACCTTTGTGATCCGTGAAGACCCTCTGCTCCCGAACAAATAGTACTTACAAAAAAAAATAAAAAACATCTCGTACGTAGACAGTATTTGGCTTAGTATGATTATCACAACAGAGACCATGTCATCTACCGTGGACCATTGAGTAATTCAATAAAAGTATAATAAGAAATCAAAGTCTTGTTATGAGAAAATTCAATACACAAACCCGAGAACCAACGACAATATTAAAACGTTAATTTTCTGCACTACCTACTAGCCCACGTTCAGAGCACTCATACAAGAATTGCTGTTTTATAATAACCGCACTGCGTTTTGAATTTGATACAAATTACATATTACTTCGACCTTTCTCACTCAGCTCGGTACTTCTATATGTCACCGTGTGTCTCTACAAGATCCGATGAGAAAATATGATTATTTTCATCATAAAACGCACTTAAAGTTTTTTATTAGATTTTGAATATTGAATATATATCGAAGAGTTTCTTTCTCCGATTCTAACATGGAGGTAGACAAATAACTTAAAGTAGACCTAACATCTCATCAAATTTTCAAAACTATATTACTACTCGTAAACTAATTAAAGTTTCACGTTCAAATTGACAGCAAGCTTACTCAAATCTTATAATTTCTATCAAAGTTTTAGTTAAGATAAACTATGTGGTACCTACTATCTACTGATAGCAGTTAATATTCGCGTAAGCATTGAAATAATAACATAACTTACTGCAAATATTTCGTTGAAGTAATAACACATAAATTTTTAATTTGAAAGTAAGTTTGTCTAGAAAATGGTATTAGTCTTGAAGAACAAAAAATTGATATAATATTTCTCCTGGAAAATGTTGTGAGCTCGATAAACCTAAATATATAGATATTCAATGATACATTGATTAAAAGAAAAGTAACTCAACATATTTATTATTTAATTATGTATAATAATTTATCTGTTGGTACTTTATAGATATTTATATGTTACAAGTTGAAGCATATTTTATTACCTATTATTCATATGTAAGTAACATTTTCAACTTGTGGTGGAAAATACACCCTTTAACCTGCACCGTGGACTGTACCAAAAACGAGCAAAAAATCACGTTTGTAGCAAGAGAGCACTCTTAAATATTTATTTTAGTCTGTTAATTTGTTGTTCTAGCGATAACAGAAACATAATAATACATCATCTGTGAAATAATCAACTGTCTAACTCTCACGATTTATGAGACTCAGCCTGGTGACAGACCCTACCCTAAAAATAGGTAAATAAACACATATTTAAAATAAACGACATTCTATCGAGTTTATCATCACAGTAACTGTTGTCATCACATCACATATGTAGTAAAAGGGCTCATGTAGCACACTAGCCTAACGGGACGAATGTCAAAACTAAAGAACTCAATTTAAAAGTGCACTGACATAAACATAAATGACGAGTATTAACTTAAAATAAGACTTATTTAATTATTGTATAATTAAAGTTTTTAATTTAATGAATAAAATACCAGGACTCGTAACCAACTTTTTATTACTATAAAAGTGATTATTATAAGATTTAAAACCTAACATCGGGCTTTGCAAAAAAAAATTTTATCTATTATAAGAAGGGAATGTCCCGCTTTCAGAACAGAACCAAGTCCGACCTAATACAGCACACCAGGCTTTTTAATTTTAGAAGATGACAACCCTAAACTCAATAAAACACTTTTAAGAAAACAATTC